TTCTAATCTGCTTGCTTTTTCCATAACACAGCAGTCAGTATAAACCAAATGGAAGATGGGATTTAAAGCGTAGTGATTAATAAGATAAATTCAATGTAGTGAATGTAATATAAAGACRACAATCGACAATGGGATTCATGGAATCCTTGGAATCATCCAACGCGCTAATCGAAATCAGAATCCTYGGAATCATTGCTGCTGCCGTTGCTTCTGGAGCAACTCTTCCTCTTCCGACCAGCCTTTGGACTGAAGTGCTGCATAGCAATGGTGACAAGGGATCCAAGCGCACTTCCAATTGCCTGGTAGGCCTCGTGCCTTTCTTCCCTGGCTCTCTCAGCAGCTCTCTCACGCTGCTGTGCAACACAGTCCTGTAATGCTGTTACGATGTCACGCTTTGCAGTGGCTGTGTTGTAAGACCGAACACGGGGGGCATGGGGAGCACAGGGAGCTCTTCTGGGTGTAACAGCTCTTCCTGTTGCAACAATTGGAACTGCCAACAAGGTCGGCTCTTCCTGCTGTCTTCTGTTTCTTGTGAGGGTTGTTGGAGTACTACCTGAGGGGGTCATGCGTTGTCTTCGTTGCTTAAGTTGGTGCCATTGTTTCTGTCACCACTAACGTTGCCACTGTTGTTGCTGCTATTGCTGTATCCAGCAGAAGGAGCTYGATGATTACCCTCAGGATCACCATTCCTTCCATCAGGATGGACATATCCTTCTTCAATATCAAAGTGCTCCTCTCCATCTCCAATGTCAGCCTTCTCTCCAATCAAGGGCTTGGCCCTCTTTGCAAGTCTCACRGCCAAAGGACAGTGAGGATCTCCAGTAGGAATGTTCTTCCTATGAAGGGATGCAAACTTCCTGCGAATGGAATGAACGTCCCTATTGGTATCAGGGTACTTTTCAAGATGAGTTGCCTCCACTTCATTCCACTGGTCACTCCCAATAGGAAGCCTTGCCAAGATGGTGTACATCAAGTCGATGGTTTCCTGAGTGGTGTAGTTCACTGTACTATTCCTTGGACCAGTCCTCCTGCCTGCAACTGGTTGTTGCTGCTGTGTGTTTCTTGTTAAAACCATCTTTTGGGAATTGACGTTGTTCTTTTTGTGTCTGGAATTGACTTCGTTCTGTCTGGAATCAACACGTTGAAACTACATGTGATTTGCTGCATTCCAAGCAGTTCCTCCCCCGGGGAAGGGGGGGTTCTCAGGGTTCTCAACTTTTAATTCCTGTTGACATGACTCCACCAGGGTTCTTCCTTGTCTCCTCGGTCCTTTTAGTGAGGATGCTAGCTAGTTAACAAGAATTGCGGCGTTACTTCAGATTTTGTATAGTGAAGTGCTGGTCATGGCTCACCTGGCGTTYTGGATTTGTTTTGGCGCGCTTGCTGGCACCATGTGTTCTCAAATACTTAGTTTTTTGACGCGCTTACTGGCACCAGAATGCAGTTATTTTCTGTTAATTTGAAGCAAAATTCCCTATTCCAAATTAAGCACATGTAGCGAGACATACTCTATGACACAAAAATCTATGTAGTCACATTTTTATTCCCATAAATTCATAGATGCTATTTATGTCAGCATAGATTCTATGTTTACGGGAATCACCCATTACTGGTGTTACCTTTTGTAATCTTGCTTTAAGTACCACTAGAAGTAGTACTACTTGAAGTACTTCTTGTTCTTCATACTGACAAATAAGAAGCAGTGACCAATTTTTAATGAATGACGAGAAGAAAGAGGGCCTACTAGTAGTACTATTATTAGTAGCTTGAGAAAAAAAGGTTTCAGGGCCCTTGGACAATTAATAATGAGCATGGGAGGGACAAGTCTGTGGTAATACTATCAACTGCTGGTGGTCCTCTGCTGTCTGGCTGTTGTATTAGTAGTAAGAACAACAGCACCACCTCCTTGACCAAAAAACAACTCATATTTTTAACMTCGTGAACCAGAAGAGGCACTATATGGCCAGAACCATAGCTTTTGGTGGAAAGTATGCTTCTAGCTGCTCCTAGGGGCGGCACCTCCCTCCTAGGAGTGTTGATGGAGGTGCAACCGGGGTTTGTTTGGGCTAGAGATTTAGTGGAAATAKTTGTTCATAGTAGTTTGCATGGGACAGTTGGTTGCGGCAGAGACCAAAGAAATCTTTGGTGGTGCGTAGGGTTTGTGTCTTTTCTTCTTGGAGTATGTGTCAAAGACTAGCCCATCTTGTGTGACGCTCTCTGGTGGTTGTTTACTATGAGGCAAATGTTGAAAGTACTGAGTAATAGGGCGAGTGTTGGAGACAGAGGCAAGCGTTGCTTTGTTGACATTTGCCAAAATCGTTTTCTCGTAGACTTGATGGTAATATGTGAGCATGGAAGTAGATGTAGTTAATAAAAAGGTTTCCATATCTTCTGGGAATAGGTGGGCGTGGGATGGACAGGTCTGTGATTTCAGTTTGAACAGAGTGCAGACTTTTGTCACCACCCGCTGTCAATGCTTTGTTTGCTTCTGAGAGAGCATGTAGCCATGAAGATCTTTATTTCACTGTTCTCATAATGATATAGTATGAGGTAAGAAAGAATTCCACAAGATAACCCCCCAACACAAGCGGGGAGTAAGAGCTGGAATGAAGATCAAGATCAGTAAACCACTGGAGTGAAATGTGACCGGCAAACACGTGGTGCCACCCAATCTYGTTCTGGAAATGGATAACTGGATGAAGGGATGTAGGATATTTCTCTGGAGAAACTGCSCCAGYGTCTGGCCATTTGGTAAGACATGTAGCAAGAGTGTCAATGGTAATTGGCCGGAAGCCAAGTGTGGACATCCGTTGTTGTAGAGATGTAATGGTCTGCCTTTGCCATCTGAGTCATRATAGATGAGAACGTCAAAAGAGATGCTCACAATCTTCAGGCATCTGGCAAAGACAGCAAGTATCATGGTTTTGGTAGTTCCACCTTTTGAGAACAGTGGCAGTGGGCAGAATGATGTTGCAACATTTAGTGACCAAGACATTCCTGGAGATGC